TTATAGACGATTCTAGAATCGATCATCATTATTCCAAAACGTTATCCGTTACACAAACCAAATTTGGAGATATCCCGGACTGTATTCACTAGGTTTATTGCTTACTATTCGATTGTTACATCTGATCTTGAAACCTTATTGGTTGGAAATCAGAGGTTCTGGTCAAATCCCGAAAAACCTACGAAAAACCTGAAACTTAATTATAGCAAGTAATGATCATTACTGTTAATCATCAGCGGGATAATTAAGTTTCGGGAGTTTGGTTTGATTGTCGGGATTTTAACCTGTAAACCGACTAAGGATTTAGTCAAATCGATAGGCTGCGTACACTAGTTTGAATACACAGATACAGCAAATTTTATTTTAAACAACCTGGTTCTGGTTAAAATTTATTTGCATACGATTTTCTGTGTATATATCGCACAGTAGATATAATGTATATTTTCTGTGGGTATATTAATACAGTAAATGTATACATCATAACAAAATAAAGGTTATCTATATACAAATCAAATCAATAATTAAATAATCATATAAAATATAATGACACTTGAATGAAATATAATAATTGTAGGTTGTGATAATTTTTGTACAAAATCAACACCAAATATGAATAAATAACATTATAACACCCAAAATTAAACGATCAATTTCCGAAATATTCCAATATTGGCCAGTGTTAGTACACTGTGCATTTACTATATGGAATGGAATAAAAGGAGTAATTTTCTTACATATCAGATTGTTTTTTTTTTCTTTAAATAATCTGTAATCATTTAAATATGTATGTTATTAGATAAAAATTAAACATAGATTTATAGTAAATTAATAGTTTTGGTATTAAAAGTTCCCAATGGAGCAATGGACTGGAGCAGATGAAAATGCCAATGGAGCGCGGAAATACATTTAAGGTAGTATCATTCTGCAACAATTTCTTTTGGCATTTCTGGCAACGGTGGTAGGGGATCCTCTTTCAATCGTTTTAGTATATCTTCAGCCCTAATTGCGATACTCATACTTCTAGAAACTCTTAGGTCTCCTCCCTCTTTGCCACCTTTTCCACCACGCCTCTTTGCTCGACTTTCTACATCACCACCATCACGCAATTTTTCCAATAAGTTGTCCATTAAATGTTTTTCATCTGATGAATTTAATTGAGCTGTCATTTGCACTCCTGTGCTCGGCTTAGCCAATTTCTTTCGCTGTTCAATCTCCTGTGAGTTTAAAAGCAAATATTAAATAAATTAAATGTTGAACGTAATAGGAAATTGAATTTGAAAATAGAAATTACTTCTTGTCGCTTCTTAGCAGCTAATTCGCGGTCTCTTATTGCTTTATTATCATTTCTAACCCGCTGTAATGAATAAATTAATATTAAAAATAAATATCGTCATTTTTGAACTTTTGTGTATGATCAATAAAAACGACTACGCTAATATCCGGTGCATTAATTCGCGATAAAATTTCTTTTATTATGCCAATTGGCTAAAAAGCCTTGAATCATTAATTGATGAAATCGATGGCATTTTTGGCCTTTATCTTTCAATAAATTATATTACTTGGACTGGACAATAATAATAATACATACCTCAAAACTAGTGAGAAAAGTCTTAAATATTCCAAAGAATTCATCAGGTTTAGTGTTTTTGGGATCTTCTCCAAAGTATGCTACAACATCCTTATATGCAACTTCCATAGAAGTATATTCCATCTGTAAATCTTCAAACTTTTGTTGTGACTTTACAACAAACTCTTTCATCATTTCAGGGAATCTGTCATTGTTTTCTAATTCAACATCGTCTCCAAAATGTTTTTGTAATTCAATTGCTAAATCGTTTAACTTTGTTCCCATTTGCCGATATTCGTTTGTCATTTCTTGTTGTGATACTAAAAAAGTGATTAAAATAAAATATTATAAAAAATACTTATTAATGTATATGGTCTGTATTGCAAGGTTCAAAATAGGATTTATCATACCTCTGCAAGCAGACCCACATTCCGCTATCTCATCGACAAAACCCAATACATTAGGTAGTTTCGTTTCAATTGTCTCAGCCAAAAAGTGTAATAAAGTAATTGATGAACTTTTCGCAGCCTTAGTATCCACGAGCTATATTACAGTCGATATTTTAAATTTGGAAGGGAAATATTAGTATTACAGCTCAAAATTACTAATTTATGAATAATTTTTATAGCAGATGCTGAAATTTGGACTTATTATCATGAAATTTTAAAATTTTGGATACTTTTTTTTTGCCTTTTTTTGTAGTTTGATTAAAATTTAGGGTTAGTGTTGTTAAGAATATATTGGCTTAGTAAGGTTTATACTTTCAAAAAGGGATCACAAATTTCAGCACAAGCAACGACAAAAATAATTATAAATAATTACGCAACCTTATTAATACTTTGAATCTTAAATCCAAAAGCACCACCTTTGTTACCAGAACCATTCATATAATTTCCAATTAATAAAATAAACTAAAATAAATTATAAAATTATAAAAGAAATTTTAGCAAAATAGAATTAAATAATAGGTTTAAAAATCGTTCATGTATATAATCCTTACGTTTAACAATTCTTTAAATTGCGCTGATTCTTTAAGTGCTATAGATGCATTCAATACTGATTTAATATCCTACAAAATAAATACTTTATGTAAACTTATTTAACAATCAAACTTCCATGCCAATAAGAATGTTTTATGATTGCATACACGTTCCAAATCTCTGAATTTCTCGTCAAAAGTAACGTAGAAATACATAAATTTAAGGCGTTGTTCATATCGATGAATCTTCATCACCTATTAATTTAAAGTATAATATTTTGAGTCGGATATTAACAAAAGTCAACAATTACTATTATTGTTAATATTATTATTATTAACCTCAACAAAGAATCGATCAGCACGAGCCAAATTTGCGGGCATGTCTTCTTTATATACTGATAGTTTACCACGCTAAAAAATATCGAAATAGTTATTATATGCGTTCTTTAAAATGCATATATTATTTGATAACATACTTCTTCAGCTGTTGGAATATATAACATTAACTGATTAAGTAAATTCTCAGTACAGAAGTACACATCAAACTCAACGATCTTCTTATGTATTTCTTCAAATGATATATCTTTATAACGTCCAAGTGCCACATCTTCAACAGGAAAACAATTAATAAACGAATAAAATCATATTAAATCAAACATAACGAACGTGACTGCATTCTTACTAATATTATAAGCTCTCTTTTGATCAAGAACACTAATTTCTTCCTCTTTTACAGCCTTCGGTCCTGAGAAAATAAAAATAATATTGGAAGATTAAAAAAAAAAAAAAAAAACTCTAGTATCAAAAAATCCAATTACTAAATGACAAGGCCAACATACTCTCTTTATGCTCATAAGCTTCAAATAATTTCTCAATGTTAGAGAACACGTCGGTTTCTCCACCAAGTAACTTAATTAGCTCTTCATCACTCAAATTTGCTTGTCCCCAAAGTGTTTTATTAACAGATAAATAATTAATCTTATCCCATTGAAGTTGCTTAAGTTTCTTCATAGTCATGTATGGAACTTCTTTACGATTATCTACACAAAAATATCAAATTAACAAATTAGAAAATGATAGTGCACATCGAATTGAGCCGCATAGTAATTTTTATAAAATTAGGCAATTTATCAAGAAAACTAGTATTGACACATTTGCAAACGATGTATATCAGGTTTAACGTCACATTTTATGAACATATAATGTTTCATTCGCAAAGGATGTGGCAATAAAAAAGAGATGTGCAAATGCCCAATTTCTTTATTCATACTAACTTGAAGATGCCTGAGCTCGAAAACCTCCTGGTGGTAGTGGACCTCCGGCTTTTCCTGGAGGTGGTGGTGGACCTCCGGCACCCCTGGCTTTTCCTCCCGGTGGTGGCGGTGGCGGTGGACCTCCAGCTTTTCCTGGTGGTGGTGGTGGTGGCGGCGGACCTCCGGCTTTACCTGGTGGTGGTGGTGGCGGCGGCGGACCTCCAGTTTTTCCTGGTGGTGGTGGCGGAGGTGGTGGTGGACCTCCAGTTTTTCCTGGTGGTGGCGGAGGTGGTGGTGGGCCTCCAGTTTTTCCTGGTGGTGGCGGAGGTGGTGGTATGCCACCAACTTTTTCCGATGATGGCGGCGACGGTATACTTGAAGACTGAGAGTTTGGTGGGGGAGGCGGTGGCGGTATGTTCGAAGACTGCGTGACAGATGGTGGAGGCGGTGGTGGTGGTATGTTCGAAGACTGTGGTGGTGATAGTATTTTTGAAGAAGCTGGGGATGTAGCTGAAGATTGAGAAGATAAATTTTCCGATTCTGTGGTTTGCGTTGTCTGTGAAATTTTCGAGTCAGATTCAGTCACGCCAGAAATAGGCGAGGTTTGTGAAGTTGATGTAGGTGGTTGTTGAGATTGTTCATTTGAATGTTCACTTGCTGATGTATGAACGATTATACCATCATGACGTTGTTTAAGTTCTTTCAAAACATCAGCATCCATCCGTGGAGGATGTTCAGGAATTCTGAATCCACCAGCAAAATTGGCTTTATCATAATCAGGATATTGCGATGGTACGTTCTGACTGCTCATATTACCAATATATTCATTTGCATCTGGCATCTACATTAAAGAGTCCAATGTCAATAACTATAAAATTGGATTGTTGCTATTTTTTTTAATGGCATTACCTAAATAAAAATTGTAATTATAACGATATTGAAGATAAGAATGAAACTATATCACCAAGTATAGGCATATTATAATCACATCGTTATGATTACAAAATCTATTAGACTTCGTTAACAAACCTTTAAATCTCCAAATGAAGGTGGTGTCCAAACTTTTCGTTCACCTTCTAATATCCTTTCTGTCTCACGTATTTTCTGCATTCTTTCTAATTGTTTAACAAGTTCTGTTCGATCAACAGTAGTATCAGTCCCATATCCTTGCTGTTCCTTTATTATTGTCTCAAGTTCTCGAAGTTGAACATTCGACTCATCAAGCTTTTCGCGATAACTGGCTTCTAGATCTGCGATTCGTTGTTGAAGTGTCTTAATAGTGTGCCGAGAAATGCGTAAGAGTTCTTCAAGAGATTCAATTTTATTTTTTAATTCAGCTTCTAAAATGTGGAAAATGTGGGCGAAATTGTTATTACATTTAATGTTCAAAGGGCATATGGTAAAATCAATAAACATATAGGGTAAGTCACCTGACTCAGAGGACACCACCTGTTTTGACATTAACTCTTGTTTCTCACGTAACTCTTTTAAAGCAGCTTTAGCTTCCTCTGCTTCTTGAAGGGCAGTATTGAGTTTATCTTGATCGACCATCTTAGCAAGGACCTGTGAAACGGTAAGACCCACAGACTGGCTCCAGTCTTGATCAAGCCCATGACGATCAAGAACAACTTGCGTGACTAATGAATCAATAAGCTGGAAATATTTCGTTCTACAATATATATATTCATATCAGTATCCTCAATTTACCGTTTTTATTAACTTATTTAGTATATGGGGGAATCAGTAGAAAGAGAACAAATCTTTTTTTTATATTTATTTTTTTTAATTCTTAAATTAGAATATTTCAACGACTAACAAACCAAATTATAAATGTTTTCATTTACTTCTATAATTGCATAGAAGTTAGATAAAAAAATTTTTTTATTGAATTTGGTTGATAGTTTTTGAGATATTTTATTTAAATTTTAAAAGATTTTACTTGAAAAAATTTGTCCTTATTCTACAGATTCCCCCATATTTCTTTCTAAGTAGTAAGCCAAACCTAGACTCGCCATCATCACGAATAAGTAACAAATGTTGCATAGCCGATAAGAAAAAGTCGTATGAACGTGTCCCTTGTACTGAGCCAAGTATACACTCAAACACATCACGTGGATCAGTATATGCAAAAAATTAAGGAATATATAAAATAAAGATACGATGGAAAAAATATATATATAGTATATATATAGTATATATATATATAGTATATATATAGTATATATATAAATAATATATATATAGTATATATATAAATAATATATAATAAAGGATATGTCATGTTCTGCAAAATTCGATGATTATAAAAATCCAAGACTTCTTCGTAATCCAATTCACTTTCACGTTCAAACTTATTTATTTGGCGATTAATCAGCTCGTGATTAAACGCTTTCATTTTCTAAGTATCAAACCATTGTAAATCGATAGGATTCGAAATAAGGTAGTTTACAGCATTTACAGTATAATTTGAAGGCTTACATCAATTATACGCGTTAGTCCACATGCGTGTAGCTGGTTCCTTAAATGTACCCGAATTTCAACGTCATCACATACACCGATTATTGAATTTACCAGAATCATATTTGCTAACTATTGTAAAGACGAAACATAAAATTATTCCTGAGAAAAAAGTACTTGTAAAAGAAGCACAAAGATTCTTACCACATATTCCATCAATGAACTGTCCATTCCTATACCCCCTTTTTTAAATTCATCACTTGCATCTACTAAACTCCCATAACGACCACGTCCATCAATTGTATTTTCCAGTACTCTCATCCAAGCATCAAATCTTCCATGCTCATTAAGAAATCGCTGATGTTGATCAAAACCTTCTAATACGAGAGTGTGACCGGTAGGGATTTCACAATAACAAAAGAAAGAAAGAACTTCGGCTACCAGTTTGCGGGTGTTTAGTTGAGGAGAAATAAGTGAAAATGTGATACTATGAATGCATGATGAATGCGTCAGAGCTTCTTGAGCTCCCCACTAAATATAAATTAAATAAATTAAATAAATTAAATAAATTAAAATAAATAAATAAATAAAAAAAGATTAAATAAATAAATAAAACAAGATCTAAACACGTAATTTTATAATCAAATGTTTATTTAAACTTACTCTGTTGTTTAACAGTGATTTTAAACATTTAATAATTTCGTATTCCATTTGTAAATCAGCATCTAGCCTAAATTAAAAGAAATAAATATTTGCAAATAAGTATTACTAATATGACGAGCAAAAAAAAAAAAAAAAAGAAAATAATTATAAGGATAAAACATTACGCATACTTTGCATGTTTTTTTGTAATACTGCTAAGATAATTTGCAAGAACCTCTAAGCCTTTTGCGTCAATGAAAGACCGGACCCATCTTTGGTATTAATAGTTCATAAATAATTAATGTGAATTTTAAAGTCTTAAATACACTTAAATACATAAATGCATTAATCACAAAAACAATACAGAACGAGTTTCTCACGTTATAGGAAGTGTCCTTAGAGCAACACTGAGTGAATTCATATGTTTGATAGTTATAGTTCCATCCATAATTTTTTTAAGATAATATTCAGGAGTATTAGGATCACCAGCGCTTTGAACGGGATTTTTATCTTTCGAATTAGAGTGAACTTTCTACAATATATAAAAAAAAAAATCGATTGATTACCACAAGGAGGATTAGACAATCCAGGACAAGAAATAAAATTTCATCCAACCCCTTCTGTTATCATATTACTCTGTATCAGCTTCCATTTATTTTCGATTGGCATGGCCAGCATTTTCTCGGATAAATTTCCCAAATCTAACTTTCTCTAACATTTAAAAATGGATGTTAACACGAGTCAATGAACAATTTACGGCCAAACGATAGTGGCACATGATAGAAAAGTAAATTATACCATCATATCTAAGAACAAACGTTCAATCTCTTCATCAGAAGGCCGAGAATGATCGTTTTTATCACCTTTGTGATGGCCGCTAATCCAAGGTAAATCAAGAGACGAAAAAGCAGTAGATGTTCTAACAGAATCAATACTTCGTGTAGACCCCGAAGTTTCACTGAAAATGGAATGGTCAAGTGAAGGAGTATAATCTCCTGAAGAAGTTCTTGAATGGGGATTACCATAATTCTCATATTGAGACGTTATTGAGGACGATTGAGTATAAGGTTGTGAAGGGTAATGATCAGGGTGAAATTGGTATTGATAGTTTTGATACTGCTGAGCAGGATAAGAAGGATTGTTATAGGAATGGTTAGGAGATGGTAGGGGAGGTCTTGTATTATCATAGCGAGGAGGATTTTTTAATTCAGCTGGTTGTTTTTTATTTTTTGATTTCTCTATAAATTTTTTCATGGTTGAATAATGATTCTAAATGATAGTAGCAATACAAATATACAAATCTCATAGACTAAACACAGATCTTGTAGATCGCCAAAATAAAACCAAGATCTATGTTAACAAAAGATATTAATGACAAGTGTGAAATAATTTAAATAACGATAAATGAAAGCGAATACGAGAATAACAAGTGGGTGTGGCTAAACTTAATCAATAATTAAATTATATAAACAAGGATGAGTCAGCCACACTTTTTCAGCACGAACAAACATTGTACGTGCGTACGTCTGCTATTATAGGTTAAATTACACACGATGCACATTGAACCAGAAAGTGTCAGTGTCAGCTCTTATGTACAACGCAAGACCGAGAAGTCTTTATTATACGTAGTCTAGTCTCCGCCAGTTTTTACGGCATGGCGTATTATTCAATCCAGTAGACAACTTTCTATGCGGGATTATTTGGGATTATTAAAGCTTGTAACTTTTACTATCTATTTGTATATCGTTTAGTACTGTAGTAACGAATAGATATATGAAATATTGTAAAACCCCTAACCCGAATACAAGCCTAAAAAAGAAATGTGACGACCAATCAAATGCGCGAACGTTTTTGCAGATCATTCTAGAACCCGATTTCCAAATATGGTATATTCCCTGACTGTACCCGAGGGCTTGGGATTTGATACCTTAACCCGGTCCTTGTGGGCCTACCCGCATGTATCCATGGGTAGCCCGGGCCCTAGTGATATAATTTACCGGTATGTAGTAATACATGCAGCTATTATAATCAAGATCATAAGGCAAAACCTCAACACCAAAAATAAATAAATATTATTCTAGATATCTAAAACTTTTTACTAAATATATACATAATGTATATTATTTGAAATAATTTGATCACAATCCTGATTACTAAATTTAAAAAAAAATTCATTGAAGGTTGTTTCCGTCTTTAAATGATTTAGAAGGTCATTTAACATACGTACGTTAATTGAGAATCTAATACCCTTAACCAATCAAAACTAATTACCAGATAAACCTAATTTTATATTTACATATATAAAAAGTTAATCATAATTCATGCCTTAAAGTTGTTTGAGATAATTAACCGCATATATCTTGTCAAAATTAGCAAAAAATTGCGCATTTTACTGTTTTGCAAAATAAATACGTGCGTACGTACGTACATAGAAAATTTCAAATACGTATATAGTATTTTTACTATGTTGGATTATATAATTCGGAAAATAAAATAAGACTAGGGGGTTTCAAAATTTAACAAATAAGTGACGCATTCGAAAATAAGTACGTACGTAGGATTTTTTTTTAATAGCATTTTTACTATATCGTTATATATTGTCGGAAATATAAAATCAGATTCTCTGATTTTAACGTTAATTTGAAACCCCCCTTACTGTAACGGTAATAAAAAAAGTTAAATGAAAAAATTTTAACGTTAAGATATCGATATATACAATTCATTATCCCGAACAACTTAACAATACAAGAATACGTACAAGTTTAACAATTTCTTCGCGGGTAAAAATTGATATCTCTACACGCATAATGACTTAGTGACTGGTCTTCAATTGACTGAGTCATTTACGATCATTGCTTTACAGAATGCTGGACTTTTTTATGTCGTCCAGTTCACTTAGTATGTTTTAATATCTTTAAACATAGCTTTTGATATATTGGACCGTTTTTGATTTACCACCAAAATGACCGCTTCATCAAGATAATTCTAAGATTGTTTAACGATTGGCTTAATGTTTAAATAATACAAATCTTTGATCCCATAATTTAATAATACCTCTGATTGGATAATATTTTACCTCACATGATTGGACTTCAATACCGATACGTTGTCCACTGGATTGAATAATACGCCATGCCGTAAAAACTGGCGGAGACTAGACTACGTATAATAAAGACTTCTCGGTCTTGC